AACCAATAGGAAGGAAATACAAATGATTTTAAAAACATATTAGGACCACTTATTTGCCAATAAATCAGGCAATCCAGAAGAAATATATGCTTTTCTGGAAAACCACAAATAAGCAAAACTAGAATGAGAAGAAATAGAAAACCCGAACAGGCAAATAACCAAGGAGGAAATTGAAGCAGTCATCAAAAACCTCCCAAGGCACAAAAGTCCAGGGCCAGATGGCTTCCCAGGGAAGTCTATCAAACATTTAAAGAAGAAGCCATACCTATTTACTAAAGCTGTTCTGAAAGATAGAAAGGGACAGAATACTTCCAAACTCTTTTTATGAGGCCAGAATCACCTTAAATCCAAAACGAGATAAAGACTCCACCAAAATGGAGAATTATAGCCCAATAACCCTGATGAACGCAGATGCAAAAATTCTCAACAAGGCACTGGCCAATAGGACACAACAGAATATTAACAAAATAATTCACCATGACCAATGGGATTTATACCTGGGATGCAAGCCTGGTTCAACACTCGTAAAGCAATCAATATGATAGATGATATCAACAAGAGAAAAAAGACAAGAACCATAGGATCTTCTCAATACAAACAGAGAAAGCATTTGACAAAATACAGCATCCATTCCTGATCAAAACTCTTCAGAGTGTAGGGATAGAGGGAACATTCCTCAGCATCTTAACAGTCATCTACGAAAAGCCCACAGCAAATATCATTCTCAATGGGGAAACACTGGGAGGCTTTCCCCTAAGATCAGGAACAAAACAGGGATGTCCACTCTCACCACTGCTATTCAACATAGTACTGGAAGTCCTGGCCTCAACAATAAGGCAACAAAAAGAAACAAAAGGCATTCATATTGGCAAACAAGAAGTCAAAACCAAAAAAGAAAAAAAAAAGAAGTCAAAACCTCTGTCTTCGCAGATGACATGACACTGTATCTAGAAAACTCAAAAGACTCCACCCCAAGGTTGATTGAACTCATACAGCAATTCAGCAGTGTGGCAGGATACAAAATAAATGCCCAGAAATCACTTCCATTACTGTACACTAGCAATGAGATTTACAAAGAAATGTTAAGGCATCAAAAAAAATCTTAAATTGCACCCAAAAGCATAAGATACCTAGGATTAACCCTAACCAAAGAGGTAAAGTTTCTATACCCTAAAAACTATGGAACACTTCTGAAAGAAATTGAGGAAGAAACAAAAATATTGATGAATATTCCATGCTCATGGATTGGAAGAATTAATTTTGTGAAAATGTCAAAGCTACCCAGGCCAATTTACACGTCCAATGCAATTCCTATCAAAATACCTCGGACTTTCTTCAGAGGGTTGGAACAAATCAACTTAAGGTTTGTGTGGAATCAGAAAAACCTCCAAATAGCCATGGTAATACTGAAAGGAAACCCAGAACTGGGGCATCAGAAGGCTGGATTCCAAGTTCTACTACAAAGCTGTGATCATCAAGACATTCTGGTAGTGGCACAAAAACAGACACATTGATCAATTGCACAGAATGGAGAACCAGAAGTGGACACTGAACTCTATGGTCAACTAATATTCGACAAAGCAGGGAAGACTATCCACTGGAAAAAACAAGAGTCTCTTCAATAAACGGTGCTGGGAAAATTGGACTGCCATGTACAGAAGAATGAAACTAGATCATTCTCTTACACAAAACACAAGATAAACTAAAAAATGGATGAAAGATCAAAATGTGAGACAAGATTCCATCAAAATACTAGAGAACACAGGCAACACCCTTTTTGAACTTGGCCACAGTAACTTCTTGCAAGATTCATCCATGAAGGCAAGAGAAACAAAAGCAAAAATGAACCATTGGGACTTCATCAAGATAAGAAGCTTTTGCACAGCAAAAGATACTGTCAACAAAACTCAAAGACAACCTAGAGAATGGGAGAAAATATTTGCAAATGACTAGATAATGGACTAGTATAGGACAAATAAGAGGTGAGACCCTGTTTAAGTGTTTCTGGGCGATGTCACCACATTCCCAGATTCAGTGCACTAAACAACAGATGCTCATTCTCACAGCTCTGGAGTCTGGAAGTCTAAGGTCCAGGTGCAGGCAGATGTGGTGTCTGGAGCGCCCACATCCTAGCATGTCCTTTCCCCCCCTTTCACATGGGGCCAGGGGCATGGAGCTTTCCATATACTGATGTATAAGGTTCCTCATCGCATCATGAGGCTCCATCTCCTGACCTAATTGCTCCCCTAAGGCCCCAACTCCTTCTTCCATCACATAGATGTGAGGTTCCAACCTGAGGATGGTAGAGGTGACACACAGTTAGCTATATCAGCACCCGAAGGATCCCTGAGTTATTCCCTGCAGGTGGAAGGTCCTCCTCCACTTTTGTTCCCTCATAATTGTTAAGTGGAATTTGTCATCACACAGTATTCATGAGTGTTACCTGCTCGCTCCTTGATCTCCAACACCCAATCTTCTCTTCCTGCCCCACCCATGGGAAATCCAGCAGGAACACTTGACTTGACATCAGGGAAATACAAATGAAAACCACACTAAGATCCCACTTATACAACTCAGAAAGGATAAAGTAACAAGGCCAGAAGCAATAAATATAAGCGAGGACATCGAGAAAGTGGAACTTTCTCTTCTTTAGGTGGGAATGCAGGCTTGTTCAGCCACTCCAGAAAACAGAATGGAATGTCCTGAAAAAGTGAGAATAGAGCCACCCTATCCTAGGACACAGCCATTGCACTACATGGTATTTACCCCTAAGTTGCAAATTTAATGTAATTAAGGGACGTCTGCACCCCAATGTTCACAGCAACAATGTCCAGAATAGCCAAACTGTGGGAGGGATCATGATGCCCTTCTACAGAAGAGTGATAAAGACGATGTGGAAGGAGCCTCGGTGTCCATCAAGAGATGAATGCATAGAGAAGATGTGGTTTATATATACAATGGGACATTACTCAGCCACTAGAAACAACAAATACCCACCATTTGCTTCAATGTGGATGGAACTGGAGGGTATTATGCTGAGTGAAGTAAGTGATTCAGAGAAGGACAAACATTATATGGTTTCACACATACAAAGTACATAAAAATAGTGCAAGGGTATAAAGGGGAAAGGAGATAGAATGAGTGGGAATTATCAGAGACAGTAACAGTACATGAGAAACTGCTACCTATGGGGGAAAAAAAGTAGTGGAAGGGGAGATGGTCAGGGGGTTGGGGTACCTGGATGACAGGAGCTGAGGGGGGCAATTGACGGAATGAGTACTGGCTGTTATATGTAGGCAAATCGAACTCTAATAAAAATATACAAAATATGTGGTTTATATATACAATGGGATATTACACAGCTGTCAGAAATGATGAATAACACGAAATAACATTTCCTTCAACATGGATGGAACTGGAGCTATTATAGCGAGAGAAATTAATCACAGAAATGCAATGATATGGTCTCACCCATATGTGGAGTATAGGAAATATTGAAAGAGACCATAAGGGAAGGAGTGAAACTTAGTGGGGTAATATTACAGAGGAAGACAAACCATGAGAGACACTCATCTCTGGGGGAAAAAAAACTGAGGGTCACTGGAAGAGAGGGGGTGGGGGATGGAAAACTGGGTGATGGGAGTTAAGGAGGGGACATGATCTGATGAGCACTGAGTGTGTAGTAAATATTGGTAAATTCAATTTAAACAAAGAAAAAATGGACTTTAGCCTGTCCACATCCCTGGAACATCATACATGGACTGGGAGGATCAAACAACAGACACTCATTCTCACAGATCTGGAATCTGGGACTTCTGAGGTCCAGGTGCAGGCAGATGTGGTCTCTGGAGAGCACCCACGTCCTACCCCGTCCTTTCCCCATCACCTCACATGGGGCCAGGGTGCAGGGAGCTTTCCCAGTCCTGGTTTATAAGGGCCCTGATCCCATCATGAGGCTGCACCTCCTTACCTAAGTGTTCCCCTAAGGCTCCACCTCCTTCCCCATCTCATGGACGTTAGGTTCCAACATGGGCATGGTAGAGGTCACACACAGTGATCTGACGTCAGCACCAGAAGGATCCATGAGTTATTCCCTGCAGGTGGAAGGTCCTCCAATCCACCTCCTCATACTGAGGTTCCTCGTTGATCCAGTAGAAGCTTCTGGTCTCTGAGCACATGGTGTATACATGACCTTCAGAACCAGATTGTGACCTTGGGGAGAGGACAGCTTCCATCTGAGACCTGGGTAGGATCTTGGCCTATTTGTATTATTATTTAAAGTTTCGTGCTGCTTCCATATATTATTCATCTCCTTTCCCATGATTCTGACATCTGTCTACTGAGAATGACCATGTTTCTCTTTTCTCCTTCCAGTTTGATGCTTCTTTAGTGAAATGATTACTCACACTATGTCCAGTCTTTACTGCCTGTTACCTCCCTGACATTCCTTGCTCATTCTTCTCCTCCACCCAAAGAATAAGTAATCAAATAACCCAGGGGTTCCCTCTTTTGATGCAGTTGGGACACTAACTCCACACAAGCCCCTCCTGGAGCAGGACGCCGTCCCCACCACTGACCCACAACACATACCCAGAGCCAGTGTCCTTCCCTGACACCATTCAGGCATTTATGACCTGATGAGAGGCCTGCCTGGCTCTTATCAGACTTGAAGGTGAAGGTGATGAATGGTTATACTCTCGTGATTGTGTGTGTGTGTGTGTGTGTGTGTGTGTGTGTGTGAATGACCTCTGAGTCCACATCCCTACCATGTCATGATGTCGTGTTGGGAATCTCTCTCACTCCCAGGCTGTTATTAACATTTTTGTGGAATGTCTCTTTTCTCTTGTGTTGATTGGGGATTCTGCTATACCGAGATGTGCAAGCCAGCATGTTAGCTTCGGGTCCTGTGGTCCACAGCGATCGCCACTAGGACTCATGAAAAGGTTCAGATGATGTGAATTGAGTTATTTGTAATTGATTAATATTTCGGTTCAGGAATATTTAAGTACAAGTAAGTGCAATTGCTATAGTTGAATTCTAGGTCTCTAAGAAAGAGAATGAAGAGGTAAACACATAATCAAGAGTTCAGAGGGGCTCCCGGGTGAAAACTGCTCCATGGAGAGGAAGCCCAGACCCCCACAGGAAACCTGCCCAGAACCTCCATCTGCACCTGCTCCTGGGCCTTCAAGACAGAAGTGGTGAGGAGTGTGCACCCCCTGGTGGTCCCGATCCCCTTCCACAGGGAGGTTTGTGTCTGGGCTCACACTGAGGTCCCCTCACTGTGTCCCTCGCACAGTAATACACGGCCGTGTCCTCGGCTCTCAGGCTGTTCATCTGCAGATACAGCGTGTTCTTGGCGTTGTCTCTGGAGATGGTGAATCGGCCCTTCACAGCGTCTGCGTAGCTTGTGCTACTTCCATCACTGTAAATCCGTGCGACCCACTGCAGCCCCTTCCCTGGAGCCTGGCGGACCCAGTCCATGTTGTAGCTACTGAAGGTGAATCCAGAGGCCACACAGGAGAGTCTCAGGGACCCCCCAGGCTTCACCAGGTCTCCCCCAGACTCCACCAGCTTCACCTCACCCTGGACACCTGCAGACACAAGACATCCTGGTCAGGAAACTGTCCCACATCCCCAGTTTCTCTCACTCACCTCCACTCACAGACTCAAGGTCCCTTGTTCTCCATGAATTACCTTTTAAAATAGCGACAAGGAAAACCCAGCCGAGCACAGACTCCATGGTGGTTTGTCTGTGTTGTGTCCTGATCCCTGAATCGGGTCACCTGGGGATTCTGGGGCTGGGCCTCCTCTCCCAGCTGCAGGGTCGGGACTGGGCTGGTTTAATCAGTGGAGGGAGGTCCCTATTTGCATGTCCTCTGACTATATAACCAGCTCCAGACTTACATTCGTGTATTTAAAGCCCCACAAGTGGGTCACCACAATCTATAGCAATTTGTGTAGATGGCCCTCTGACTATATGAAGTTCTAAGGACAGTTATTTTTTAATTTCTGGGTTCATTTCAAAAGACACATCAGTATATGTCATTTTCTGGAGATATTTCATCTTGTTAGTAAATTTTAATCCTATATATTTATTTTTGGTGCTAGTGGAAATCGGATTATTTTGTTAATTTTGCACATGTAATTTGTTGTTATTTTGTAGGAATATATCTTTATTTTATTTGCTGATTTTATATACTGATATTTTCGCTGAGCTCATGAGTTATTTCTTCCAGTTTTTATGTGAAGTTTTTACTCGTTGACTCTATTAAGACATTGTCATAGAAAACTAATTATTTTCTTTGCAGGTTACCACGTTTTCTTTTTTTTTATGTAGTTTTCTTGCTACATTTTCTGGTAGGTCCTTCAGGCTGGGGCAGAAGCATTTTCCTCTTGTCTTCAGGATGCATTGTCTGTTCTATTTTTTTTACGTGCATCCTATGTTTATTGCAGCATTTTTTAAATAATAATTTTATTTTTATTGGTGTTCAATTTGCCAACATACAGAATAACACCCAGTGCTCATCCCGTCAAGTGCCCCCCTCAGTGCCCATCACACATTCACCCCCACCCCCACCATCATCCCTTCCACCACCCCTAGTTCGTTTCCCAGAGTCAGGAGTCTTCCGTGTTCTGTCTCCCTTTCTGATATTTCCCACACATTTCTTCTCTCTTCCCTTCTATTCCCTTTCACTATTATTTATATTCCCCAAATGAATGAGAACATATATTCTTTGTCCTTCTCTGACTAACTTATTTCACTCAGCCATAATATGCTCCAGTTCCATCTTCGTTGAAGCAAATGGTGGTTATTTGTCATTTCTAATGGCTGAGGAATATTCCATTGTATACATAGACCACATCTTCTTTATCCATTCATCTTTCGATGGACACTGAGGTTCTTTCCACAGTTTGGCTACTGTGGACATTGCTGCTAGAAACTTTGGGGTGCAGGTGTCCCGGTGTTTCATTGCATGTGCATCTGTCGGATAAGCAGTTGATATAAGGTAGACCTAGAGGAGACAATAAATTTCATTTTGTATGTGGATGACCTACCTAATATAAAGTGACAGTCTACAACTCAAATCAGGACAAGGTGAATCATCATGTCCTCTGCCCATTTATGACTGTAGTTTTCACTTTGTGGTTGTTTAGTTTGGTAATTTATTTTTCGATTTTGGAAACCAGCCTTAATCTGGAGATAGATTTGCAAATCTCTTCTCCCCTTGTTTTTATTCTTTTGGAAGATGTTATTTATTTATTCATCAGAGACGGAGAGAGAGATTCAGAGATGGGTGGAGGGAGAAGTGGGCTCCCCACATGGAGCCTAATGCTGGTCTCATTCCTAGAGCTCTAGGACTCCCTGAGGCAAAGACAGATGCTCAAGCTACACAGGAATCTGTATCTTTTCCAATTTGTTAGGTTGCCTTTTAATTATGTTGAGTGTTTCCACAGCTGTACGACAGCTCCTTCCTTGGTGTAGTCCATAGAGTTCACTCTTCCTTTTGTTTCCCTTCCCTTTGGAGATTCGAGTACCAAGAACCTGTTGTGGCTGAGGTCACAAAATCTCCTTGATTTTGATGGTTTCTTGCCTCACATTTAGGTTTTTCATCTACTCTGAGTTTATCTTTGTGTGGAGTGTAAGAATGTGGCCCAGGTTCATTCTATTTGCAGTGTCCAATGTTCCCAACACCACTTGTTCAAGAGATTGTCCTTTTTCCAGTTGATAGTCTTTTGTACTTTGTGGAGGATAAGTTGGCCATTGAGCTTTGTTTCCCTTTATGGGTTCATTTTCTATTCCATTGACCATGTGCATGTTTTACTGTCACTATTATACTGATTATATATTTGATGATCACAACTTTGAAATCTGAAACTCTGATGGCTTTTGCTTTTTTAAAAAAGTTTTTATTTACTCATGAGAGACACAGAGAGACAGAGAGAATGGCAGAGACACAGGCAGAGGGAGCAGCAGGCACCATGTGGGAAGCCTGATATGGGACTCATTCCCAGGTCTGCAGGATCACGCCCTGGACAAAAAGGCAGTGCGAAAACGTTGGGCCACCCGGGATGCACTGATTTGTTTTTTGTTTCAAAATTCTTTTGCTTACTCAGAATCTTTCTGTTTATTTACAAATTGTAGGCTTTTTCCATTCCCTAGAAAAAGTTGGTGGTGTTTTGATAGGGTTCATATTGAATGTTAGATTGTTGTTGGTGGCTTATACAATATATGAATATTTATTTTTCCAATCCATTGCTGCTATAAACATCGGGGTGCAGGTGTCCTGCTGTTTCACTGCATCTGTATCTTTGGGGTAAATCCCCAGTATTGCAATTACTGTGTTGTAAGGTAGCTATATTTTTACCTATTTGGGAACCTGCACACAGTTTTCCAGAGTGGCTCCACCAGTTCAGATGCCTTTGAAACCTAATCCATTACAGAGACAGAATCACATCTGTAATTGGAGAGGAGGTAAAATCAGATCATTTGTCTTATTCATCATAGTCCAGGTTCTGAATTGATGAGGGCCCAGGAGTCCCTGGCCATTTCCCCAGAGGGTGAGGTTCTCAGAGACATTGACACCCAGAGGCAGATAAATATCCAGAGAGGTTCTAAGCGTGGATCTATTCCCAGCTTCAGAAACTCCAGAGCCCAACAGGAGAGACCTCTATTCCCAGACTCACTCTGTACCTGCCCCTGGGGCTGGGATCTGTGGTCAGAGGGTCCTGAGGGGCCCAAGGGACCACATTCCTCTTCCTCTTCCTCACCAGGGCTTGATGCTCCCCTACCTGGTGGTCCGGTGTCTCAGTTCCCAGGTTCCTGAGCATTGGGGTGTGCACAGATCTACTGTATCCAAAGTGGAGCACCAGGTGCATCTTCACCAATGGTGCAAGAGGGGTCAACTTTTCCACAGCCTTGCCAACATCCGCTTTTTCCTGCCTTGTTAATTTTAGCCATTCTGAGCAGTGCGAGGTGATATCGCCTTGTGGTTTTGAATTGAATTTTCCTGAACCTGATTGATGTGGTGCATTTTTCATGTTTGTTGGCCATTTATGTATCTCTTGGGAGAAATATATGTTTGTGTTTTCAGCTCATTTCTTGAGTGGAATTTTTAAACTTTGAGTGCTGTGTTTGCTAAGTTCTTTATAGATTTTGGATACTAGCCTTTTTCTGATGCGTCATTTGCAAATATCTTCTCCCATTCTGTAGGTTGTCTTTTAGTTTTGTTGACTGTATCCTTTGCTCTGCAAAAGCTTCTTATCTTTTTTTTAAAGTACTTTTTTTATTTACTTATGATAGTCACAGAGAGAGAGAGAGAGGCAGAGACACAGGCAGAGGGAGAAGCAGGCTCCATGCACCGGGAGCCCGACGTGGGATTCGATCCCGGGCCTCCAGGATCGCGCCCTGGGCGGAAGGCAGGTGCCAAACTGCTGTGCCACCCAAGGATCCCCAAAAAAGCTTCTTATCTTGATGAAGTCCCAATAGTTCATTATTGCTTTTGTTACTTTTGCCTTCGTGGATGTATCTTGCAAGAAGTTACTGTGGCTGAGTTCAAAAAGGGTGTTGCCTGTGTTCTCCTCTAGGATTTTGATGGAATCTTGTCTCACATTTAGGTCTTTCATCCATTTTGAGTTTATCTTGGTGTCTGGTGCAAGAGAGTGGTCTAGTTTCATTCTTCTGCATGTGGATGTCCAATATCCTAGCACCATTTATTGAAGAGACTGTCTTTCTCCAGTGGATAGTCTTTCCTCCTTTGTTGAATATCAGTTGACCATAAAGTTGAGGGTCCACTTCTGGGTTCTCTATTCTGTTCCATTGATCTATGTGTCTGTTTTTGTGCCAGTACCACACTGTCTTGATGACCACAGCTTTGTAGTACAACCTGAAATCTGGCCTTGTGATGCCCCCAGATATGGTTTTCTTTTTTAAAATTCCCCTGGCTATTCGGGGTCTTTTCTGATTCCACACAAATCTTAACATAATTTGTTCTAACACTCTGAAGAAAGTCCATGGTATTTTGATAGGGATTGCATTAAACGTGTAAATTGCCCTGGGGAACATTGACATTTTCACAATATTAATTCTGCCATTCCATGAGCATGGAATATTTTTCCATCTTTTTGTGTCTTCCTCAATTTCTTTCAGAAGTGAATGGTTTTTATTCATTTTAGGGGGGGATCTCTCTATTTCCTGGATCTGAATGCCTGTTTCCCTTCCCAGATTAGGAAAGTTTTCAGCTAGGATTTGTTGAAATACATATTCTGGACCTCTGTCCCTTTCGGCGCCCTCGGGAACCCAAATTGAATGTAAGTTTTTCTTCCTCAGGCTGTCGCTTATTTCCCTTAATCTATCCTTATGGTCTTTTTTAAAAAAAATTATTTATTTATGATAGTCACAGAAAGAGAGAGAGAGAGAGATGGGCAGAAACATAGGCAGAGGGAGAAGGAGGATCCATGCCCCGGGAGCCCGACGTGGGATTCGATCCCGGGTCTCCAGGATTGTGCCCTGGGCCAAAGGCAGGCGCCAAACCGCTGCGCCACCCAGGGATCCCCTATCCTCATGGTATTTTAATGTTTGTCTCTTTTTTCCTCAGTTTCCCTCTTTGCCATCAACTTGTCTTCTATGTCACTCACTCATTCTTCCACTTCGTTAACCATCGTCGTTAGGACATCTAGATTGGATTGCATCTCATTCAATTGATTTTTAATTTCTGTCTTATTAGATCTAAATTCTGCAGTCATGAAGTCTCTCAAGTCCTTTATGCTTTTTTCTAGAGTGACAAGTAGCTTTATAATAGTGCTTC